CTTATTTTCAATAAGCAATCCTGAAAAATATTTGGGGGTGCTTAACTTTTTTCCAGGTGTATAGTTCAACTTTTTAATATTTGTGAAAAAGACTGTTTAATGGTCTGAAAACTGGCATAGATTTGGCCCAAGTATAAAAACTTTTTAAATAAGGAGTACATGTAGAGCTGGGCAATTAACTCAATTAAACAACTACCTATAAGCATCATTTACACTGATTAGTGTCATGTAAAAGTTAACATTTTAATTACCTGAAAATGTATTTTAGAGAAATTCTCACTTATCTGCATCACAAAAAACTATTACTTCTCACACGCATGCCACAAGCTTTGAAGAAAGCTCCCACCCTGTGTCAATGTATATTTCACCAGCATATAAGGTAATCATTATTAGATTATAGCCATCCATCAATAGAAGGATGACACATCCTCCATGCACAGTAATCCCCATGAGCACCAGAATTTTAACATAGACTCATTCTTAATAAGGCAAACTAAATGCACTGGAAGTGGAGAGGAAGAGTGGGATATAATGCAAGAGGTATCTATCTATCTAAAACACATTTTCAGGTAAGAAAAAAATTTCAATTTCAGAAACACTGCTCACCTCTATGCACCACAAAGAGATAGAATCTTATAATGAAGATGGTGGAGGGGCTGGTGCAGAAAAAGAAATTACAAAAATGAACTCCTTTCTGAAAACAGCATCAAAAAGGGGAAAGCCCATTGATTGTAACATCCAAAAGCCAGAAGTAGCCAAGTGGGACAGCACATGGTGAGAAAATGCATCAATCTCAAGCAGAGAATACTCTTCACCAACAGAGACTGGTGAGGCTCAGGCTACTATAAGCCTGGGGAATACAGAATCTCATTAAAGCAGTATGTTTTGATACAACAGCCAAAAATACTATTAAAAAAAATGGTGCATGTGCATTACTTGATGCAAAATTGGATAGAAATCTAGTGTACATCGAATGTCGACATCATATACTTGAAATAGTTCTTTCATGTGTGTTCAATTTCTGTATGGGACAGACCTCAGGACCAGATGTTGCAATCTTCAAGTGGTTCCAGCAGCACTGGGAATTCATTGATCATTCAAATTACCAAACTGCAGAAAACAATGTAGATCTAAAAAACGTTACTGCAGACATCAAAGACGAAGTCATGGATTTCACCACAAAACAGCTTCAAGATTTCCAACCTAGAGATGACTACATACAGTTCCTGGAACTTATCATATTTGTTGGTGAGACTCCTCCTTGAGGTGTTCATTTTATATCACCAGGTGCTATACATCATGCTCAATGGATGGCCAAAGCCTTGTATGTGCTCAAAATCTATATGTTCTGTGATCAGTTCAGACTACCTGCACATGAAAGCAGAGGAATTTGTGATGTCTGTATATTCTTAATCCAACTTTACATTAGGGCTTGGCTCCTGATGCAATCTCTGCTCTTCAAATCAAACTGACATTTCTTCAGAGTCTAAAGAAATATGAAGAAATCAACCCAGCCATATCCATATCAGCTTCAATGAAATTTGCCTGAACATTTGTAGTATCTTAGTGACGAGTTGATAGCCTTAGCTTTTTTTTTTATATCTAAATGTTTCATCGGAAACAAAGTGAGCCATGATAAAAGCAATGAATGAACATTAACTTCATGAAGGTACACACCCTAAATCCACCAAAGCAGATCAAAATCAAAACCAACACAGTTCAACAAAAGTCCCTACCAAATTCTGTAACAAAAAATATACTCAACTTTTTTAGATGTCTGGAACTTTCAACAAATTTCTTTGATGTGGATCCTGAATTGCGGATCTCAAAGATGACTACAAAGTAGCATTGGAAGATGTGTGAAGTCTAGAAGTGGTCAATGATACAGCTGAAAGGGATGTTGCATGCATTGAAGAGTATACCTCTTTGCTTATCAATGATGAAGATCAAAAGCAGCATCTACTTCAAGTTGTTCAAAATCACAGGTGTCACTTCCCTGATTCAAACAAAGAAACCCTGACAAAGTAACTGGTAATACTTCACAAATATCATGACTATTAAGACATTAAGGTGATGGACATGGGTTATATTTACATTTTAATTTGGCCATAAAAAAACTGTTTTTTCATATTTTTTAAATTTTGTTCTTTCGTAAAGTAGGAATAACTTCAAGGAGCCAATAAAATATTATTTGTTAAGATTTATTCTTGTTTTATTTTATCTTATTATCATTCTATAATAGACTCGAAACTGTCAATCAAATCGTATTTAAAAAATTTTTCAAAGCCTTGAGCAACCACTACATATTCCATAACATGCTTAAAGCTTTGCCTGTCAAGTTTTCTTATATAGTCAAACAAATGTGAAGGGTGAGAGTTTACAAATTCCAAACTTTAAAAGTTTATCCCCATTTAAAGACCACTCTTCAGAAAGCATCCAAATTATGCCCATGAGGTGGTACACACCCAATAGTAAGAGCTACATAGAAGCACACCTGTGGAAGATTACATCTCTTCTTGTCCAAGGTATACTCTTTGCCCATACAGGAAAAAGGAAGAGGCATAGAAACCAATATGTATCACAGAGATGGGCAGAATTGTTACTTGCATACCAGTCATTTGACAGCCAATATGTGTAGTGTGGTTGGGGGCTCATTCAAACCATACCTTGTGTGTTCACCTCAACTGTACTATCAGATTTGACATGTCAAAACCAGCTGTGGAAGGAGGGCACTCATGATAAGTATTTGTGCTCACTTCTATTCTACCATCAGACTCTATGGGACTGCCTCAGTTGTGAGAGGAAGACACTTTATTGCATATAGTTGTGGATACTTATATACTTCAACTTGCCCATCAGTCTCTTCAGGCCCAATTCCAGCTGCAGGAAACAGGGTATGCGAGAGAAACATCACAGGTGTGCATTGAGTGCTCACCTCAGTTCAATTGTCAGGCTCTATAGGACTTATGCCAGCTGCAGAAGGAAGGCACATTTGTTATGTAAAAATGACCGGTATTGAATGTGGTCATCTTGACTCTACTGAACAGACAGTAGCTACAGGAAAAGATGTGATATAAATATTCATTAGTTTTGTATAGTGAGTGCACACCTCTACTCAAGTTATCAGCTTTTATGGGATAGACTATCTGCAGGAGGAGGGCACTGTATTTTGCAGCATTCATCCATATGTAGTGCATGCACACTTCAATCCTACTGAACAAGCTCTGGCTATAGGAGGAGGCCACAGTCAGTTATTGTGTGCACACCTCATCTATACTAAACAGGCTCTGTTGCAGGAGGATGGAACATGTGTATCTGAGTTATATATATATATATATATATAGATATCTGCACTACACCAATGCTTTACTTCTCACCATACTGGCATCACTTGTTCTAACTCCAGTGGTTAAGTCTCAATCGATAAGGATTCTCTATGGTTCACCACCCCAGCAACTTGGAACTGGCAAGGGTCTCTCATACTCCATTCAAAAGAGAGGGGAGAGCTTGAATTAGGGAGACCTGGAAAAGGTGCCCAGATCCTCATAGTTCCTTCAATGCAGGAGGGTCTTTTACTGGAGAAAGTGAAACAGATTACAACAAAACCCTATTTTTAGGCCAGGCTTAGAAATATATTTTTTGTTTACTATAACCCTAAACTGATTTAAAATGTGAATAGGTAGGTAAATATATATTTTTTTCAAATTGGTTGGCAAAAAAACTTTGGAAATACCACTAGTTCCTTTATCACTTAAAACATAACACATTAAACCATGAATCCAACTACTATCAACATTTATTCTATGAAGAGAATTACAGAAATTTCAAATTTTTTCACAACACACACTTGCTGGTCTATATCGACCTTGACTGAAGAAGTTGAATTACCTGTTGCTGACTATTTTACTGTTTGTTCTTCCATTTCATTTCATTTGCCAAATAAATCTACAAGTACTTCCCTCCATGTGGATAAGTGTCCAATCAGAATTAAATTGTTTTTGATCCGAATCCTCAATCCACAAGGTCATTTTTTGAGAGACAGATATGCTGAACAGACTTGTGTTTGCCATGTTGTTAATGTATGCTCATGAATAGTAAATTCTGTGCTAGGTCATGTATTTATTAGTTTAACAGGAAGGGCCCTGGGGACAAGATAAGCCATGCTGTCAAACCTCGATGCATTGGCCAATTAGCACTGAACTGTCAATTGGTAATCCAGTGATGTCCTCCCATATTGTCATGGACAACATGAATTTCTGACAGAAAAATAACCATAATATAGTAATAAAAAAATTTTAAGGTCAGCAAATTTTGTTAGTTGGGTCAGTATATCGGCAGAAATTGTTGAAAATAAGAATTTCCCAGGTCATAACGTAAAAAAAATCTTTCAGTCAGACCCAATTTTAGACGATAAATCGGGTTACAGCAAAAAAGATATATTTTTAAACCTGGCCTTAAAAGCCAGAGAAGTGGGAGAAACAACTCTATGGTGCTGGATTTTTCCATGACAGTCTATGGAGTAGGTATGATCTGGATCAGACAATAAATTGAATATATATATATATATATATATATATATATATATA